CATAAGGCATTTGAGTTCCCTATGTATTCTGGTTATCAGTCCCTTGTCTGAGGCATTTTAACAAAAATATTTTCCCATTCTGAGGGTTGTCGGTTCACACTTGTTACTGTGTCCTTTGCTGTGCAGAAATTTCTTAGTCTGATATAGTCCCACTTGTCTATTTTAAGGGTTATTGCCTGTGCTATGGGAGTCTTATTTAAGAAGTCTTTGCCTACTCCAATGTCTCCCAGAGTTTCCCCAGCATTTTCCACCAGTAGTTTTATTGTTTGGATCTTTGATCCATTTTGCGTTGATTGTTGTTAATGGTGGAAGATCAGGGTTCAGTTTCATCTTTCTGCATGTGGATACCCAGTTTTTCCAGCACCATTTACTAAAGAGGTTTTCCTTTTCAAAAATCTATAGCATTTCTATATATGAACAACAAGTTGAATGAAGTGTAGTTGAAGAAAGGAATCGCTTTCACTGTAGCCACAAACTATATAAGATACCTAGGGATAAACCTAACTAAGGAAGTCAAAGACTTTTATAAAGAAAACTATTAAAATCTTAAAAAAGATATTGAAAGTGATGTAAAAAAGTGGAAGGACATCCCATGTTCCTGGATTGGAAGAATCAACATAATCAAAATGGCAATTCTACCCAAATTAATCTACATGTTTAATGCAATTCCAATCAAAATACCAGAAATATTCTTCACAGATCTAGAAAAGACAATCATAGAATTTGTCTGGAATCATAAAAGACCTCGTATTGCTAAAGCAATCCTGTACAAGAAGAATGGAGTGGGAGGCCTATCATTCCCTGATTCCAAGATAGTCTCTAAAGTTGCGATCATCAAAACAGCATGGTATTGGCACAAAAACAGACATGTGGACCAATGGAATAGACTAGAGACCCCAGAAATAACCCTCAGAGCATTTCCAGATTTTAATACACATCCCAGAACAGTCATAGCACCATTTCTCTTTGTTTTTCCAGTCTAGAAGAAGTAACGTCTTCCTGTAGTTAATAACCTTTGGGTTACATCAGTATCTATCTTTTTTCTTCTTTAGTTTCCTTGAAAATAGACTTAATGTGTGTAATTCTGTTTTAAGCCTTGTTTGTTTTGAAATACCAGATATAATTGTTTCCTGAATGGCTGATAAATGAGCCCGAATGATATACCAGCTCTATAATGCAGGGGTAAATAACACCGAGTCTTATTATAGCTACTCATTATCAGATTGTGATTCTGAGACTAACATATTCATACATTTATTTTCTCTATACTAATATTATGGGATGTACTCTTTATGACTGAGATTATGAGAAACATAGTGATGTGCTATGAGAGCTTTTCCCCTCAAAGTTCGAAACAAAGCAGGGACGATTAAATGTAGTAATCCAACAAATACAGACAGTTGGATAGTGATTTATGGCTACAAGTCATAAACTATTGTGATCCTTATCATTTCTGACTTTTACTTTCCTAGTCAGTAACATAGGTGGGACATGAATACATTTTTCCCGTGCTGCCGCAGTGCAGAACGGAGTAAAAATGTGTCCTGAGGGGGAAAAAAAAAGTAATAGATACAGAATGGAAAGTAATCCTGTACATGACATGCCATGCATTTATGCTTTGAGAGCCCATAGCATGTGCTGCGAAACATACAATAAATAAAGGTAAATTTAAAGAAATGTGTGCAAAGTGACAATCTCAGTAAAATGTCTCAAAATTGGTACAATATTTCTGGGAAAGGAATTTTCTGGTTCAGAAGATCAAAGAGGGCTTCTTGGACAGGAAGAAATTGGGGGTAAATTTTAAGAAATATATTGTAATCTCCAATGTTGGGCCTAACGTTTCTTATGAGGAGATTTTCTTGCTGAAAAGTTTCCACAGGGCAGCCTTCATGTCCCGGTTTCTCAGACTATAGATGAAAGGATTTAGCATTGGGGTCACTGCGATGTACATCACAGTTATCACTGCATCCTTCAGGTTGTAACTGGTCAGAGGGCGGAAATACATGGCCATGACTGTCCCATAATACAGAGAAACTACTGTGAGGTGGGAGCCACAGGTGGAGAAGGCTTTGAGCACACCCTTGGTGGATGGAATCTGTAAGACCGTGGAAAAGACTCGAATATAGGAGATAACAATGGATAGTAATGGCACACAGAAAACAGCAACCCCTAGGTACATGATCTTTACATTAAAATGGATGTCAGAACAGGACAGTTTGAGCAATGAGGCAATGTCACAGTAGAAGTTGACTACTTCATTCTTGCCACCGAAGGACAGACTAGCAGTGAGCAGAGTGTGGGGGAGAGAATTGGCGATTCCAACCACCCAAGACCCAGCTACTAGCAGGGCACAAGATTGCAGGCTCATAATCGTCTTGTAATGAAGTGGGCAGCTGATGGCCACAGCCCGGTCATACGCCATCACAGCCAAGATGTAGCTGTCTGTGTTAGCCATGGCAATCATGAAATACATCTGGGTGAAGCATCCCCCAAAAGAGATCACTTTGCTGCCCAAGAGGTGACTGGTTAGCATGTTTGGGATAGTTACAGATGAGAAGACGATGTCAACAAAAGAGAGGTTGGCAAGGAAAAAGTACATAGGGTTGTGAAGGCGACTGTCAGAGCGAATGGCTAAGATGATGAGCAGGTTTCCACTTAATGTGATGGGATAGATGAACAGGAAGAGGATGAAGAAGAAATCTTCTTCTTTTTGTTGACTACTAACTCCCAGGAGGATGAATTCCAAGGCAGAGGACTGGTTTTCTTTCCTCATGGCTTCTTTAGCATTAAGAGACAGAGGAGTCCAGAATTATTAATGAGATTACTACATATTATAATCTTCCATATCTGACAATTTTGACCCAAGTAATCAGTTATCTCAATATCTGAGTTTATTAAATACAGATAGCCCAGTACTTTGGGGTAGAATCTTTGCTGTACAATGCAACTAATTGAATAGTCATGTCTAAGAAGTGAGTCACCTGTGCATTAGAGGTGCTTATTGTACCTAATCCCACCACCACCACCCTCCAGACCTGTAGCATTTAATCATGTAATAAATCATGAAATTTAATGTTTCATATACTAGACATTTTATTAGACTCATGAAAAAATTGTAAGTATGTGAAAATACAGTTTTTCAGCCATTTATTTAATGAAAAAAACAGTCTCAGCTCTTGAGAACCTTGTAATTTAAAAGAAATGTGGGAATTCCAACACTCCACTGGAAAAAAAAATTTTTTTTGAGAGGTTTTTGCTATAGGGCGCGTGTGCTCACCAGACAGACAGAGAGAGATAGAGAGATAGAAAGCGAGAAATCACTCCCCAGAGGGGATGGCCATGCCGCAATCCCTTCTCCTCCATTCTCCTCTCGGGATCTTGGGCACGCACGCACACATGCCCGGCGTGAGTTTAAGCCACCGGGTCCTGGACTCGAACTGTGGTTGACTACGTGGGAGTCCAGCGACATAGCCATTATGCTAACTGCTGGTCCCAGGAAAAAATTTTTTAAAAAGTGTCAATTGAAGAGTGCCCTGGACAATAAGAAAGTATTTGTTCAGTAGACTCACGGAACATACTCAGATAGAGTCCAGGTCCTATAAGGTATCAGGTATCTACATAGGCATCAAAAGCTTATGAATCACTACAGTACTGCAATTAGATTGTAGCAAAACAAACTTAGAAATTACCTTTCCAGAAGTCACATTTTCAAAGGAGATTTTCACTATCTTCTTGATATGATTTATTACTTTGAAAACCTTAAACTATGTAATCAAATGTTGTTCCATTAGCTCTTCTTTTCCTTTAGAAAATTATTTACTATGATTACTGATTCAACTCCTAGTGGCTTCATTTGCTACTTAGTAGACTCTATATCCATGGACATTATCTCTTTCTCTATCTCATACTCTATTTTAAAGTTTATTTATATATTTCTTCCATTAGTAAGAGGGACATGAGAGAAAGAACTCTTAACAGGGCCTTGATACCATAATCCACCAAAACCTTTAGCCAGGTCCAGATTATGGCATGCACATGGCTAATGTACTCAAGGAGGTCTCCAGAAGCAAATCCAGATCCTTCCCATGTGGGTTTGCTTCATGGAGCAGAACATTTTACTGTGGTACCATCTGCCATGAAATTTGCTAATTTTTAAGGGGTTCTATAGTCAACTAAATTTATAATTAGTGATTTAATTTTGGATTAAATAAATTATAGTATATATGCAAATTATCTGCTAGGCATTGGGATACATGTTTAATTTTTTTCCCCCAATATCATGTGCTTTCTTATTTCTGTATCAAAATGACTTTGGCTTTCTTTCCTGAAATACATTTTTCCATATTCACACAAAATCCGAGTTCACTAGAAGCTGGAGGACTCAGGCACAATGATTAGCTCATTTGATATGGAAGTATAAGAGATCAGACTAAGGCTCTCAGCAATATGGCAGAATAAAGTGAGATCAACAGGTGTCATTCCTATTAAAAACTTAGTCCTGGACCCCAAAATATTTTACAAAGCTGTGATAATCAAAACAGTGTGGTACTAGCACAAAAAAGTAGGCGTATCAGCCAGTAGAACAGAATAGAGAATCCAGAAATAAACCTCAACACATACAGCCAACTGATTTTTTAAAAGAGTTTTTTGCCTTAAGATTCTGCACTCTTGCTGGAGAGAGAGAGAGAGAGAGAGAGAGAGAGAGAGAGAGAGAGAAAGAGAGAGGAAAGAAAAGGAGAAATCACTGCACAGGGAGTATGGCCATGTGGCAGTTTCTTTTCCTCCATTCTCTTCCTGGGATTTTGGGCATGTGTGCATACCTGCCTTGTATGAGTTTCAAGTCACCAGTTCTGGGACTCAAACCACAGTCAGCCATGTGTGAATCCAATAATGTAAGCACTATGCCATCTGCTGGTCCCAGTCAACTGATTTTTGACAAAGGGCACATGACAGTTCAGTGGGGAAAAGAAAATCTCTTCAGTAAATAGTATTGGAAAAGCTGGGTATCCACCTGCAGAAAAATGAAACTGGATCCCTATCTTTTACCATTAACAAAAATCAAATCAAAATGCATCAAAGATCTAAAAGTAACTTCTCAAACTCTGGTGTAAAACACAAGGGAAACTCTTGGAGACATTGGAGCAAAACTTCTCAAAGAAGACCCCCAAAATACAGGCAATAATCCCAAAAATAGATTAGTAGGATTCAATCAGATGAAAAACATTCTGCACAGAAAAAGATACAGTAATTACAGTGAATTGACAACTTTTAAAATGAGAATATTTTTTCAGATATATTCTTACTCAGATAGGGACTGAGAAACAAAATATACAGGGATCTCAAGCAGCTAATAAAAAAAAATCAACCCGATTAAAACATGAGCAAATAAACTGAACAGACAACCCTCCAAGAAAGACATTTGAACAGCCAAAAAGCATATGAAAAAAATTCTGAACATCCCTTACCATAAGGGAAATGCAATTAAAGCCACTCAATGATATACCACCTTACCCCAGTCACAATGGCTAAGATTAAAAAAATGAAGAACAATAAGTGCTAGGGAGATGATGGTAAAAAGAAAACTCTCCTACACTGTTGGTGGGAATGTAAATTAGTACAGCCACTTGGAGAATAATATAGAGGTTCCTCAAAGACGTACAAATATTAGGTTGTCTGGAAAGTTGTTATGGATTATTTTTGAATAGACAAACCTAATAGTATTAATAGTACTTATAGGATCCAGCAATGCCACTTCTGACCATTTACCTAAAGTATGGGAATATACTCAGTCAGAAAAATATTTGCACATCCTGTTCATTGCAGCATTATTCACAATTGCTAAGTCATGGAATCAGTCAAAATGTCCAAGAACAGATGAATGGATTGAAAAAGTGTGGCACATATACACCATTAAAAAAACAAGGAAACCCTGGCATTTGATAGAAAGTTGATGAATTTGGAAGACTTAATGCTGAGCAAAACAAGCTAGATGATGAAAGAGAGACATTGTATGTTCCCACTTACTAAATACTGAATGTCTGCACTCTATTTTAAAAACTGAAAGATGGGAAGGTATAAAAGCAAGAATAGCATCTGTAGATACTAGAGAGTGTGGGAGGAGGGTGGGAAATGAGAGGGTGGAAGGGAGGGAATCAAGGAGAATAAAAAGCAAAACTTTTACAGCCACAAAATTGGAAAATTATCTGTTGATGATGATGTGTATAGTAATATCTTTGAATGGACTAATGTACAGTGTATTTATGTTAGAAAATTTTATTTTGTACACGGTGAATATAGATGGTGATTGAATGTAAAAAAATAAAGAAAGAATGTTGCTACACTAAAGGAAACAAATGTATCTAGACATAAGAAACTGAAAGAAAAGTCACAGGGAGAGTTGTAAATCAGAGTTCATGCTGTGATGTCCTGTTGGGGTTTCAGCCAGGAATTAAGCACTAAAATCTTGGAGTTGTGGTGTTAATATCTCTTTTTTTTTTTTTTTTGAGAGGTTTTTTTTTTTCACTATAGGGCGCGTGCGC